ATTAAGGTTTTAGAAACTCTTCCCACATTTTTGCAATGCTCTAAACTGTTAATGTCATTTTAACAACATATGTACAGAACTGCATGTGTAGCTACGAAATTTTACTTACTAGCTCTGTAGAACAGCAACAGCTTTCGGTTCTGGTCCGACTCTGTTCTGGTCCGATTAAATTCCATTTCTGCAGACCTACTCTGCAGCAACAAAGCCCACAATTAATGTTCTAAACCCATAAACCTACACATTTTAACAAGGTACTTCTATGTACAGTAGCTTCTAATTTTTTTTTTACCAGCGCAGAGGTCCTCAACTGCCGGTTGAAAGACATGAAAAAAGTCCTGGTGAGATCCAGATAGAGCGCCGGATCATCGGCCGCGCGCTTCCCCGCTCGGAGATCCATGTGGGTGGGCTACCAGCTCTCAAGAATCACCAATGAGTCTGGAGGTCCAGTTCTGCTCGGGTCCAGTGGGTTCCGTGTATCTTCTCTTTGTCTGCTCAGATCAGATCAAAACTTTCCCAAAGCAGAAGGAAATGGGGCTTCTGGGCGGGGCCCTGTTGGCTTCTGGGAAATGTGGTCATTATGATTAGTAATTTAATGGAGGCTTATGGAGAGAAAACTACAAAATGGTGGCACCTTTCTGAAATATTTAATTTTTTCGTAATTTTTTTACTGTACAGTACTGTCCCAATTACGAGGAATACTAAAGTTGGCAATCATGTGTCCTGTTCAATTTTTTTTTTGTACAGTACCGTATTATGTACTGTACCTTCACAAACCGCGATAGAGCGAGTCCGCGACAGTCGAACTGCTAAGTAGCGAGGGACTACTGTGTATATTTGTATACAATAACTATGATTGTGAAATACAAGATAAACTAAAGAATGCTTGACAAACAATGATATTGGTAAAATATGTTAACATTTCATTTGTTACAAAAACCTTCATTTCATAAACTCATTTTTAACATACAATGTAGTAACGTAACTCATTCTAGGACAAACTGACGGAATGTTTAAAGGAAATCATCAAATAAAAATAAAATAAAACCGTCAGGAAACAACTCTGTTTCTTTATGTGTTTGTTTCAGGCTCGAAAACCAGGTTACTTCTCCTTTCTTGACCCGTTCTCTCCGGCTGTGTGGCTGTTCATGCTGCTAGCTTACCTCGCCGTCAGCTGCGTTCTTTTCCTCGCCGCCAGGTGAGTTACTGAACTCAAAACAAACTTAAAGTCAGAAATCATATAGTCAAATACAATAGTTTAAGAACGTTTCTCAGAAATATCTGGTTAAATGTTAGTACATTTAGTAACCAGAGTGATATTAGAAGATAACATAGATGTTGCTGCTGTTGGACCATGCATGTGACTTTTTTTTTTCCAGGATTTTGTGCTAACGTTGTACCAACAGTATTGTCCATATTTATTTCTTCCTTATGAAACCTTTTCAGTTCATTTTCTTCTTTCTCTTTAGACTAAGTCCCTATGAGTGGTATAACCCTCACCCATGTTTACGGGAGCGGCGGGACATCCTGGAGAACCAGTACACATTGGGAAACAGTCTGTGGTTCCCAGTCGGGGGCTTCATGCAGCAAGGGTCAGAGATCATGCCTCGGGCGCTGTCCACCCGCTGCGTCAGCGGAGTCTGGTTTGTACCAAGAACAAACTTTTTAGTTTGATTAAATGTTTGTTTGTCAGTCAAACCTAAAGTATTTTAGAATTGTATTTATTTATTTGCTATAACAAATAACATTGTTTAAGTAATTTTTTTTTTTTTTTTTTGTAAGCAACAAATGCCCCAAAATCCCTTTAGAAGGAAGAGCCCCTCCCAGTGGTTGTTGTAGTTATGACAGAAGCCAAGGATGAATTAAAGTCATCATGTGGAGAGTACAAAGGTGGATAAAAGGGAGAGACTAATTCCAGGACAGGCAGTCCTGATCTCCCCTTCCCTGTTTCTGTCTTCCCATCTGTCCATCCCACCCTCTTCAGGAACATTAGCTGAAGGTGAACAGATGGTATCGGCTCTAATGTGAAAATGATGATGTCGCTTTCTCCTTAGGTTTTATTTTCACTCCTTTACTCCGTCTTCTCTCTAAATCACATCACTTTATGTTCCTACCTTTCTGCTAAAACTCACTCTGACCACTTTCAGATAAACAACAGATGTTTGCTTCGTTGTGCTTTAATTCAAGTACCTTTTTTTAGGTTTTTGTTAATTTTAATTTTTTTTATACTACTGCATCATACATACTAAGACGTTTGCTACAGAACAAATTACATTTCTCATAAGTTAAATTCTTATATGATGATATACATATTAAATACTCATTCAGTATGTTTATATTATTAGAAAACCCTTTAAAAAAAGCTAAAAACAATGACTTTCATTCAATGAACATTTACTTCTAATATGCAACGTTTGCTTTTTTACTTTTGCTGGTTTATTCTTTAAAATGCATGTTTGTAATTAGTAATTCTTTAGTGAGTACCCCTGACTTTCATTCTGGACCTCTCCTGGTCCCAGTAGCTGCAGTCAGACAGATGGTGGGGTGATGCTGATGGACTGGAGGAGCCGATCAACATCTTTTCCCTGACAGCCCTCTGACTCTTCTGGCACTTAGCCTCATAAAAGCTCATGATAGCTGTGGCACAAGCTGCAACATACCAGCGTCTGTCTTTGTCCGTCCGTTTGTCTAAGTGACTTGTTGGCTGGCATGTTACATATTTAGTCAAACTAGAAGGCAAAAGGGATCAATTAAGTTATCCAAATAAAAACAAGAGGGGAAAAAAAGTCACAAAACTGCTCCTATAAATCTTTAAAAAATCTTTCTATAAAAATGTTAATTGGGAAAAGGTGCATTAAGCAGATCAGCCTCGCAATTTAATTTTGACAATAAATGTGATGTGAGTGTTTTATGGCTTTTACCAGAAGGGCTTTATGAGCCTGAGTCCATGAGCTGGACCTTGAACAAGATCAGTTTATGCTTTTTAAAAAGAATTGCTGCAGTATTTCTTTTACTGATGCACTTCCCTTTTGGTTAAATGTGTCCTTTTTGTTAGACTTTGTTTGGTTTGAGCTCATTCCTGTCTGGATTTAGCCACAGTCCGAAGCATCTTTCACTTTTACTCAAAATGTTTTGGAGGTTGTTTGCGGACCTGATTGCAAGAAATACATTTCAGTGATATTAGTTATAGCTGTTTTGGTCAAACATTCAAAATAATATTTACAATCTCACATGATTTATATGAGTTGCATAGGCATCACATCAATTATATGTAATAAAGACGTGTCCTCCTCACATAAAAAAAAAAAAAATGTTTAGACTCCCCCACAATTACCATGAAATATTTGTTCACCCTGCACTGTTTCTTTCTTGGAGAACAAATCCATTCCACTTGATTAATAGGAGAATACTTAAACCACTAAGTCCACTCAGGGTTTTCCTGGTTAACTACAAGAACTCACCACACTGCATGCAGTGTTTCCCTGAGGTTACTTGGCTTGGCAGAGTGCTAATTTCTGAGTTTTTTTTTTTTTTTTTTTATCAATGGGGGGAGAGGAGAGGGAGACACCTCTGTGTTGCACCCTAGCTTAGCGCTACGTTAGTGCCAGCAGTTGTTGACCGGGAGTTAGGATGCGTGAGGGAAGCGGAGCGTGCTCTATTCACACAAGGAGAGCTGTTGGTCAGGCTACGTCTTGTTGCTTTCTAAAATAGTTATTGAATCAAGTGTTTACTTATGTAAGTAAACGTGGATGTTTAACAACCTGTTAAAATACACCAGGAAATGGCATCTACTTTACTCAAAAGCTTACACACACACGCACCAGTGTGCCCCCAACCCCCACATTACAAATGCTTCTGACGCCAATGATGACTTGAATTATGTGTTGTGAATACCTGTCAGCTACTACCATCCCAACTTTTAGCTCAATAGCTGTAAGATTCCCTGAGTAAAGCTCTTTATTTGTGTGGGTTAATGTGGATTAGCTGTGATGAGCCTCCTAATTTAGGTTGAGTTCATAAATAGTTGCCGATCTATATCAAATTATTATGTTCTAAGAGTTTCATTGAACTCTGTTTGGTTTATGATATATTTTGCTAACAGAGAGAGTTGACCAACAGTTCATGCAAAGGTTTAAATATGTCACACAACTTGTTCAGCTCAAAGTTTGTGTAGGGAACAACGCTCATCTATGACTGAACAATACTGATAAAGTCGGTTGAGGGAAAGTCATGTTTGTGTTTTCTCATGTCAGTTGGCTGTGGAGGTCATCTTGAATTGGGTTCAGTCTATAAAGTAATAGTTTTAGGCACAATCCAATGGTTACAGTCTGAAGGTTTCAACAAAATTTATTTAGTGATTCATGACCAGTCTCCATCCAAATTACTTAATTTATAGTTCTACTCTACATCCCCGATTTCTCCACCAGGACCTGGTCCTGTATCATGTTCAAGTACACCATCATCTACGTTGCAGTGTGTTAATGTAAAATGAAAACATGCAGATGAATTTATTAGATGAATACATTTTCATACTGCATCAGAGTAGAGTTCAGTTTCTTCTGGGATTTAGGAAACAAAAGGTTAAAATTCAGGAAAAGAGGTGTTTTTGTATTGCCACTTGTCTGAAATGTTTACAATAGATCCAGTATAACAATCAAATGTTCTGCATTCATCACAAAATATATTAAAGCTGTAAACATATTGATTTTATTTTTTTTTAGATTTGTAGAATGAACAAAATGATGATTTTTCCAAACCAGATGTTTGTTTTTATGAACCCAATATAAAAGATTTATGATGCCACAAAATCTGCAGCTGACATAAATACATTTTCTGATTTGAAAGATTTGTAATAAGACATAATATTTTGATTGACAAGTTTTGAACCTGCATTAGTTTATCCCATCAGTCGGCCATTTCAGTGAATCTCCTCGTCATGAACTGGCACAAATCATGTCCAAAGAGATGGAGACATCTTCCACATCTCCCTGAAAACGGTGTCAAATGATGAAGGTCAAAGTGTCTTTATTGTCACTCGCATCACATGTGGTACATGAGGTGGAACAAAACTATGTACACAGGGTCCCAGTTACATCCAACAAAAATACAAATTGTAAAGAAAAAACAGTAATAAGATCTAAGATGTGCACTAAGAAACACGCCAAACTAAGAATATACTAAGCACTAATGGTACAAATCAATGCGCCAAACAGCAGCACGAACGTGAGTTTGTGTGAGCAGAGTAACCTTGATGAGTAACATTTCCTAGCAGAAAATAAAACGTTAAGCGCATATTTTATATCCTTCAGTTAAATGGCTTTAAAGAAACATATAAATTACAAACCGTATGCTAAAAAAAATCATCTTGCAATTGTTCCCATGAGCTGCAGCAAACATTTCAGGAGTCGGCTTTGCTTTTACTTCCGTTTAAAATGACATTCACACAAATATCAGTCATACTCTGCTAATAGCTACAATCTGAACTGCGACAGTCACTGTCCGTTCTGTTGCAAACATTCACAGATGCACACGTTACACTAAAAGATAATTACACCTTCCAACCATTCATATGATAATTTTAGTTGCTTAATTACTGTAATTCAGTATAATCTTTAAAATGCATTTTTATGGTGGATAATTTTAGCAAAACTCATGCTCTTATCCACCTTTGTCGGGGCTGCATTTGCGTCCTCTTTTCTTTTCATTCTCTGCATTTCCTCTTTAAAAGCAAACCTCCCTCCTTTAATATTGCTGCTCATAACTTTCATTCAGGTTTAATTTTCCCTTGCAGCGGAGGCATCCTGCTCATCTCTGCTGCAGTCCGGGTTCAACTCTAGGTTGATGATTTTCACCTAACATTCCTGACGTTTCCCGCAGTGCCCCTCGTCTGTCTCCCTGCTTTCCTCTGTAACTCTTGATGAAAGCAGGGAGGTGATAAAATACGAGGTGAGCTTTGCTGCGAGGTAACTAACAGCTAAAGCGTTTTCCTTTTCTTCTCTTTAGGTGGGCCTTCACGCTCATCATCATCTCGTCCTACACAGCCAACCTGGCGGCGTTTCTAACTGTCCAGAGAATGGAGGTGCCCATCGAGTCCGCTGACGATCTGGCTGACCAGACCAACATCCAGTACGGCACCATTCATGGAGGATCCACCATGACCTTCTTCATGGTGAGACTGGAAGAGAGCTTTTAATTTAACACTTTATTCTAAATCAGACGCCAAGTTGAAGAGCAAAGAACGATTCAACCAGCAAATTTGCTCAATGTGCAGTCATGACAAATACAAGATTAGGAGGATGATAATAATTCTGGTGAAATTATTATTATCTCTCCTATTGAGAGGAAGTGGTGGCGCAGAGGTTAGTAAAGGTGGGCCTGTGATCGGAAGATCGCTGGTTCAATTCCTCGTACCGATAATATCAAAATGTAGGTGGGATTGGTGAAGCATCCACATCTGTCTCCACCCTCATTTGCCCCACTCTGGGCCCTTGAGCAAGGCCCTTAACCCCCACATTTGCTCCCCAGGGCACCCTAGATGCAGCTCTCTGCTCCACACTGAGGGCTGTGGTAGCTCAGTGGTCTGTGGTTGTGTCAGGAAGGGCATCCAGCGTAATAAATAATTGCCAAGTCTTCGTGCAACTTAGTTCACTGTTGCGACTCCTGAAGAAGGGAGCAGCCGAAAGAAGAAAAATCACATCTCTCCTATTAACAGTGAAGCTCCCGTAATGATTTCATCTTGTTGTACCCCTTTCTCCTGAAGTGGTTTAAATTTGATCGTACAACAAGAGTTCATAAAAGAAAAATTAATAAAAAATAACTAAATGTATCTCTTGTTGATTTCTCAAAACCTTTGCAGACCTTAGATGTGAATTTATTGATAAAAAAAATTCAACACTTTTGTTACATTCTTGTAAAGAGACTTACTTTCTTTGTTAGGTAGGATATTTTCTTTGTGCATAAAACCATTCTTTATACTGTAGGCAAATCTTTAGCATAACTATTACCGTAATTGCCGGTCTATAGAATGCACCTGGCTGTACGCCGCACATACAAAATGTAAAATAAAACAACATTTTGTACATAAATAAGACGTTCCGTGTTTAAGCCACGGGAGTCCACAAATTAATATTATAAACTGTTCAAAGCTCCTGTTGGAATGTGCAGCTCTTGTTGTAGTACAAGAATGAACCACCAGATGGCGATGCATAGATCTTGGTTTGCCTTCAACACACACACACTCCTGATTCTCACAGGACTTCATGATGCTTGGCTCTTTGACGCATGGTTACTGGTAATGTACTACGGTAAATAACCATTCCACCTACAGAATGAACGCAAACTAGTCTAAGAAGAATACACACTACCAGTAATCACTGGAGAGAACAGTGCTAAACACCTACGTAACCGAAATTATATAAAAAAAATAATAATAACATACAGGTAAATTTTACACACAAATCCTACTTGAGGTCATGCGATTGGCATTACCCGGAAAAATACTACAGTATGGTAAATGTTTATTAAATTAAATTAGTCCCATTGATTTTTATTGTTAAGCACATTTTGGTATGAATGTTATCTTGTTTATGTGTGCATGTAATCTGTTGTATAAGACATGCCACGGCTGAGGACTTTTAGCAGCCTCTCTCATTCCTCCTGTAGAACTCCCGGTATCAGACGTACCAGCGGATGTGGAACTACATGAAGTCCAAGCAGCCCAGTGTGTTTGTAAAGAGCACAGAAGAAGGCATTGCTCGCGTCCTTAACTCCAAGTATGCTTTCCTGATGGAGAGCACCATGAATGAGTATTACCGCAGCCTCAACTGCAACCTCACACAGATCGGAGGACTGCTCGACACAAAGGGATATGGCATTGGCATGCCTCTGGGTGAGTTTCAGTGGTACGTTGTCCAAATTCAGACATTAGTAATCATGTCACATTAAATGGAGCACCTCAGTAGCCCCCATGAAGCCAAATCTGGAAATGTTTCGGTTATCATCCAAACTGTACAGTATGACGTATGTGATTAACCAAGACATGATAACAAAACAAACATGATAAAGGATTTAATAAGCTGTAGCAACTGCCATATGTTGCCATTGGCTGTTAATTATTGAAGACATATCTGTAGAAAACTCCTTCGCTCCAAGTAAAATAAGTAAAAGAGGTTGCATTACGTTATGTTTTTATCAAATGGTCATTTAGGTAGAAATCTATAGTTATGGCAAAGACGGACCATGTTGTAACAATTTGTGGTCTTTTGCAACACATTGTGTAAATTAGGCCTGTCACGATAACAAATTTTGCTGGGCGATTAATTGTCTCAGAAATTATTGCAATAAACGATAAAATTGTTTGAAATTTGACAATAATTAGTAAATATTGTCAAATTTAAGAAGAAATGTTGGTAATTTGTTTTGAGTGTAGTACCTTTTTGGACCAGTTGATGGCAATATAAAACTGTTTGAACCGAAGGATGGATAGTGAGGGAGCGAGCAGTGTGTCTCTTTAAGAAAAATGGGAGGGAGGCCCCTTGACGTGACATGGGCTGTCTCTCCTTCCTTTTTTCGGTTCTCAAAATCGCGGACGCTCGGTGTGGTTTGAGCTTTTTAGCATAACATTTTTCACACAAAGCTTTTAATTAAAAAAATCAGTAAACAAGTTGTCAGCTTCTTTTTGCAGAGAAGAACAACTTTTTACACGAAAGCAAGGGCTTAACCATGAATTTTGGAGTTTTGACAAGACAGAGATTTTTTTCCCGAGATTGGCCTGTTAGCTTAGCTCATCGCTTAGCTTCTCAGCTTAGCTGCTTTTAACGATCCAAAAACACAATTTGGGATGGTTAAAATGGATTTTAAAGAGAAAAGAAAAAGGGAGGGGTCAGTGAAAAGCACCAGAGTTGAGCCTTTTGTGATCCAGTGTTTTCTGATAGAGATATGAAGAAATGATAAACCGATAAATGAAAATGAGGTAGATAATTTTCATTTATCTTGCAATTAATTAATTCATTGTTTATTGCGACAGGCCTAGGGCAAATTGCTTCACAAACAAAATGTGTGACCCAGTCCCTACATTTATACAATACAAACGTAATGGGTATAAAAATCCATAACTCAAGTGTTTTCTTGAACTTAAGACTAAAGTCCATCACAACCCAATGTAAGTGATCCTAAGGGTAGTCTTTTGAGAATATCCAACAATTTACAGTCAGGTCATCTGGACAGTTACTGTTCTTTTTTTTTTCTTTGTTCTTTTTGTGCTGAAACACTTCACCTTCCATCCAGAAGGCTTCATCAGTCAAGGAAACACACAAAACTGATTCTTCCCCCAACAGCTTACTCCAAAGTGGAACAAACCAGTTACAGTATGATGGTGCTAAGATGGTATCTTTGGAATGCTCCCTCCTCTGGTGCCGGCTCTCTCCCTCGTCAACAGTCATGTCAAACTGGTTCACAACCAACAAAGTCCAAGCTTAATAATCCAGGTATCCAGGTAATTTGTTGGTTTTGAACCATTTTGACATGACTGTCGACGAGGGAGAAGGCCAGCACCAGAGGAGGGGGCGTGCCAAAGAGACCATCTTAGCACCAACATACTTTAACTGGTTTGTTCCACTATGGACTAAGCTGTTGGGGGAAGAATCAGTTTTGTGTTGTGTGTTTCCTTGATTGATAAAGCCTTCTGGATGGAAGGTGAAACGTTTTAGCACAGACACACAAAAAAAGAAACTGTCCAGATGACCTGACTGAAAAATGTTGTGTTGTATACCTGAATTATTGCACATGGACTTTGTTGGTTTTGAACCAGTTTGACATGACTGTTGATAAAGGAGAGCCGGCACCAGAGGAGGGTGTGTGCCAAAAACACCATCTTAGCACCAACATACTTTAACTGGTTTGTTCCATTTTGTAGTAAGCTGTTGGGGGAAGAATCAGTTTTGTGTTGTGTTTCCTTGACTGATGAAGCCTTCTGGATGGAAGGAGAAACATTTCAACACAAAAAAATTAAAATAACTGTCCAGACAACCTGACTGAAAATAGTTGGATTGTATACCTGGATTATTGAGCATGGACTTTGTTGGTTTTCTTTTGAGAATAATTTACATTGTAGAAGGGTGCATATTGACCATGGAGGCTTTTAGTCCTGCCCGCAATAATTATACAAGTCTTGTTGACAATTAGGAACATACAATAGGGATGGAACCTGTACTTCTTGTGAATGCCAGAACCAAGTCATGTTCACATCTACAGGCTTTACGATGACAATAACACACAAATGACATATAGACATTGTACAATTCACATGCCTATAAGTACTAGACAATTACTCCACTTGCTACATGTGTGGTTCAGCACATTTAACATTCAAGCCCCTTGTTCCACAAGCACAGCCTGCACTTCTGGTTCAGAAGACTGGTTAATTAGAAGTCATGCAATTATCACTCCATATATGCTTTCCACAGCCTGATGGCACAAATGTATCCACACTTTGAGCATACCAGTCATGCAACATGGACTTCACATGTATTTGTCTGTGCTGTTTCTCGAATTTTATGTCAGCAATCAGAGACCCTGTGGTCCTGCTGTGAGCTATCAACCTCTGTGAGCAATCCCCAAAAAGTTTAAAAAAATAAAACAACTATACTTCTACATATAGTAATAGAAGTCCAGTTGTTTAGTTTTTTTATTTATTTTGTTTTATTTACAGTGACTTGTTCTTCCATTTGAAAAAGTTTGAACACTTTTTCCAGTGAGAAAGCAAGTTCATTCATTCAACCTTTATTTACACAGATAAATCACATTGAGCCTCGAAGACTCATTTACAAGCGAGACCTATTTAGACAGACAAAAAATAATGAAAGTGACACCTGTATAGGATTTGGAGGCAAAAAATAAATAAAATTCTTATCAAACTCTCACTCCTTGGCCGGGGAGATAGATCCTGAGATTGAAAAAAACACCCCGCACATAAGCACATTGTGACGCAGACACTCATCACAGGGGAGGGGGAAACGACAAGAGCAGTGAGCGTGTCCAAGGACACTCCAGAGGCACTGTAGGAGTTCTGATAAGAATAATCACTCAGCTCCCTCTTGTGAGATCCATAAACACTCTCGAGGGGTGCCAACTTTGACCTAGGACAGCACCAGAGAGAATCCAAGAGTCCTGAAATAATGATGCAATGTTTATTCAGCTGGGACCCTCTGATAGGTCCGCAGACTTCCTCTGTGAGAGGAGAGGGGGCAGAGCATCAAATTTACAGGGCCTCCAGGCAAATTAAGATAAGGTGGCCTGTCAAGGCCAGCCAGGGAGCCCAATTCAGATAAACAACATTTGTTTTGGGAACAGGTAGAACTTGACTGATTTATGTCTGCCTTGAATCTTTGCTGGTCCTCACAAATCCCAAACGTCCAAATTAAGTGGACACACTGCTGGTCCATGCCTGAGAATATTCCCCAACATCTGATCCATCCTGCCAGAGAATCCTAGTAAGTGCCCTGCGATTCTCACAAATCACATCCAATATACGGTTCAGTTCACAAAGCAATTGAGTTTGTGTGCTCAAGTAAGCCCGTTTCCCAAATTATTATCAACTCTAAAATGCTCATTGTTGTCGCATTCACATTTAGGGGGGTATTTTATTCACACAATTAAATAACAAATGCTTTTTTTTTTTTTGCTTGGTAAACTTTTAAAAAGTTGTAAAAGTGGTTTTGTCTGATGGCGTTCAAGAAAAAGTTAACACTTCTATTGGAATTGTGGGTAAACTTGTCTGATGTAATGTTATATTAGTCTGCTGTTACATATTGTTCTACTGCGTCAAGGCTTTTATTATTAAAACCTTGTGTGTCACGTCTGTTTTGCTGTTAATCAGGCCAATTTATTTGTGCAGCTGCCGTTCTTGGCAAATTAAATCCATGCTGATTCCAATTAGACTTTGATCTGTTCTGCCTGTGTCTGGCCTGACCTCGTCATCTGTCTCAATCTTGTATCTGATGATAAGTGTTACTGCATAATTTAGCATCTGTAATGAGATACATACGGGCTGACACATCGAAGGTATGTTGGGCAACAATTGATAGCAAACTTTTTTTTTTTTTTTCATGAGTCTGGACTGTCAGTCAACCTGCATGATAAGCGATAGAAATAAAAGCACCTATGTGCCCCCGATGGAAGTCATCTCATGTTTATGGCTCTGACAGTGTCTAAGCGTCTACTTAGGAGCAAGGAGAGAACCCATTTTGTTTTTATACTCCAACTTTGAATGCTCCTTTTATTATAGGGATCAGTGTAACTATGATGGCAAAGATGTTTGCCTGAAATAGCTTATCATGGAGCCCCATGAAGTCAGAGAATCAGGAAGGAACAGTCGGCTGGAGAGCAGCAATTATGTGACTGCAGAATGGGCAAAATACAAAATCTATTCAAGGGATTCCAGATTTCAGAACACTGGGCAGAGGACTGCCACAGTAAATAGTTCTAATTCTGTTATTTTGGTTTGTTCCTGCTGGTCTTGTTTTCTCCTCCCCTGTCCCTGCTGATCATGATTACCAATTATCACACCTGCCTTCATTTAATCATTATCTCCCTCCATATATATTTAGCCGGTTTTGTTTATCCTATTTTAGGTCGTTGTTTTGTTTGCTCTTCTTAACTGAAGTTTTGCTGTCTTTGCCTCCGTCACAAGGACTCCTCCAGAAAGTTTCCACTGTGTTGACCAGATGGGTTAATGTTAATCTTGGGAGTTACAAAACAAAACCAATAGCTATAATAAAATTAACAAAAATTCAGGAGTTCTGTTATGCTGTTGTCATAGTTTGGCTATTTGGGAAAAATGCTGCATTATTTATAGAGTACTGAGTCCTGATACAAACCTACTTCAGTAAC